AAATTAATTACTTTTATGATACTTTTAAGCAAAGGGATACTGTGCTGTATATTTAATGTACAACAATGACTTTATATGTTTTCAAAAATATTCTGAAAACTTTAAAAGATATCCTGCTAGAATGGACTCCCAAAAATCAGATCTTTGTCTATTTTGTATGTACCCAAAGTACCTACACGGAGATACAATAAATATTTCTTATGTGAATTTGTGAGGGAATTCAGGCTTTATTAGAAACGCCATGTATCTGTTTGAAGCAAAACCCAATGAAACAAACAGGGATTACTAATTACTGAGCTTTCTAAATGCCAGCTTATGTTTTTCAGATATCTTTTACTTCTTAAAGTATAGCTTCTCAAGCCTGCCTCTGTTTTCTCTTTTTTTGCCAACTTCTTTCCATTTTGTAAGTATTCAATTATTAGGAAAATGTTTATAATTCAGTGATGTTTCCATTAATGCCTTGTGAATTGCCATGAAAAACAATTAAGTGACATAATTCATCCTTTATGACTATCCATACATGTCCACTTAGAAAGTTAAAAGGGAGCCGAGACCGGTTTGGCTCAATGGATAGAGCGTCGGCTTGGGGACTGAAGGGTCCCGGGTTCGATTCCGGTCAAGGGCATGTACCTTGGTTGCGGGCATATCTCCAGTAGGGGGTGTGCAAGAGGCAGCTGATCGATGACTCTCTCTCATCGATGTTTCTAACTCTCTATCTCTTTCCCTTTCTCTCTGTACAAAATCAATAAAATATATTTAAAAAAAAAAAAAAAGAAAGTTAAAAGGGGAAAAAAAATAACCTTAAAAACTGCCTTGTAGTAATATATTTAATCCACTTGTCAATAAACAAGTAGAGATCAGTAGGCCAAATATGGAAACAAGTAATTTAACAGTGGGACCACATTTTTAGGGTCTGATTTTATTCTTTTTCTTGTTTGTCCTCCATTTCTAAGACATTTCTGTGGCTTTGGTGATGGTTGATTACAAAGTTATTCTTATGTGACAGATGCCATTTAGAAAAATCTTCCTAAATTACCAATCCAATAACATTTGCAATCTCAATAGTTATATCATATTTAATGTAAACCTAATACAAATTCATTCTGATTTCAAAGGCAGAATATCCCAGTAGCTAAGGATATAGTCTCTAGAACTAGGATCTCTGCACTTGCAATTTATCTCTGGCTCTTGTTAGTTATATGGACATGGAAAGTTAGTTTATTCTTTTGTGCCCATTTTCACCCTTCACATGTAATTTGTCTCCCTCTTATTTATTTTGTGTAAGGATTAAAATAGTTAGCACTTGTAAAATTCTTAACAAGGTCAGGTTGAATACTAGATGCTGGTTTTGGTTTCTCTGTTTTTGCCTCCAGACCGAGTGTGTCCTTCACTGTCCTACTCTGTGACCTGGGAGGCTGACCTTCATGGACTTCATTACTTGGACCCTCTTGCCCTTTGATTTACAGTTGGATTTGCAGCTGGAGACAATGAAAGGAGCTGAAAAGACAAGGAGGAGTGACATTGGAATAACCCCTCCTCCATTTTCCCTGATTGTGGTTTTGGCATTATCTTTCTCTACCCTCTTTCTATACCAAAGGTCCCAGCTACAATGTTGTGGTCTATTTCCTATGGTCTAGCAACTGCCAGGTATGTTACTATTGCTCCCTCCGGATGCCCCATCAGACACCAGGTTTGTCAAGGCTTGCTGTGTAGGTAGGCCCTGGCACTTCAACATCCCTTGCTGATTTTCTTTACTGTATTTACGTTCTCTGTTAATAATTCCTTTACTCAACTATTGTCAATCAACCCTTTGAGTGTACCATCTATTTGCTTCTGGGATCATAAACAATATAGTGCTGGATTACTTAGTTTAAGATAAATATTATATTATTTTCTTCAAGTCAATGAAATATCATTAACAGTGATATCATTAGGAGTTGCAAATCTTAGGTAAAGAAAATTGATTTTATTAACCTGTGTCATGGGCAGCATAACTTTCCTAAGAATTAAAGCAGTCGTGTGTGTGTGAGTGTGTGTGTGTGTGTGTGTGTGTGTGTGTGTGTGTGTGTGTGTTTAGAATTGGGACTTGACTGCAGCCAGAACTAAATAAAGGCTACATGTGGTCCTTCCCATCTATTTCTCCCTTTTCAAGCATTGGAATCCATGGAGGCACTGTTTGAGTGGCCAAATCAAGCCAAATATGAAACAGATTGGAGTTTCCAAATTTAGTGAGCATTTTGGAGTTGCTGGGTGGGTTGAGTGATCCTTAGTGTTGGGTGGAAGAAGCTTATAAGACCATGTAACTAAGAGCTAGACCTGAAAGGTGCTTGTAGGAATAATTAAGAAGGTCATGGATAGTTTCCATTCAAGTAGGAATTACAGGAAGAACCAGGTAGCCTGAAAAATTACTAAGTACAGTGGCTGTATGCTGTGGGACTGTAATAAGTGTAACAACCTTTTACTCAGTTGGGCACATAATTGATAAATCTATATTGCTTCACAGAGGACTTGGAGGAACTAAATTGTTTCTATAATTCCATCTACAAACCGTATTCTGGATCTGGGCATGGCTGAGCTTGAAGGAAACAGAGAGCATTATGAATCATAAAGGTGAGTCTGGGGCATAGAGTAGAGGCATTAACACTGTATGAAGCAATACCATTTCTTGTGTAAAAAAGCAATGGTTTTGTTCGGCCTGGAAAGGAATTTAAAATAATTGGCTTTCCCAATATAACCCACTTTCATCTTATTCAGAGTTAAGTATTTCCAACTCAGAAGTCAAGTAAAATCCTATAAATATGTCAATTCTCACACTTATCACAATAGGAGTACAGAGATACAATATGATGGTAAGAGGAGGTTACGAGATCGGAAGTCAGACTTCTTGGATTTGAATCCCAACTCTTTGCTACTTGCTCTCCCTGTAATTTTCCACATTTTTTTTCAACCTCTGCATGTCTCATTTTCCTCTACCACATTCCTGAGATCAGAATACTAACTATTTATTGGAAATACTGTGAGAACTGAATAAGTTTATACGTACAAACGAATTAGTAGAATATGTATCACGTAGTAAACATTTGATACAACTTACCTTTATTGTTATATGTGTCTCTCCCCAAGCAGATTATATACCTACCTTGAGATAAGAATCTATACTAATAAAAGGATAATATGCTAATTAGACCAAATAGACCGGACATCTTCCAGACAAAGCTGCAGTGGCTGCGAGGGCTGAGAAGGGCCGGCAGCCATGGTGGCCAACAGTGGCAGCAGCAGAGGGGTGATGCAGGTGGCCCATTCCCTGATCTGCCTGGTTGCCTCCTGCAGAGGGAGGCCAGACTGTGGCTTAGGCCTGCTCCTCAGGAAATCCCCTGAGGGCTCCAACACTGTGAGAGGGGGCAGGCCTGATTGAGGGATTCCCACCCACAAGTGCACAAATTTTCATGCACTTGGCCTCTAGTATACTTATAGGATGGATACTACCATAGGTATTATTGATTACCAAGTCTATCATATGGTAAATACTAAACATTTGCTTAATAACTAAACAAGGTTAACTTGCCTAAAAATATGAATCCCAAAGACAAAAGTAAAGCATATATATTGTCTTTTATTTCAGTTGTCACTTGGATTTGCTTATTAACACTAGAGAAGCAATGTTAACAGTTTACTGCACTTTGAATTTCTGTGTGTTTTTTCCCAGTATTAACACATCAATGCAAATGCATATCTATACCCTTGAGTACATATAGCAGCACTTTCACATTTAAGTTTTGATTTTGTTTGTTCATAGTTTAATTATTTGCCAAAAAGTGAAAATCATATTAAAACAACAACCAATAATAAGTTATAGTCTTCAATAAGGGAGGTGGTAAACTACACATTTATATTCTTTTATAAAGAATATCACAGAATTTATTTTATACCATGAAATTATAGTGAGGCTACTTAATTTGTACTAACCAATGTACAAAGGGCAGCCAATGCTATTAAAAACTCTGGTAAATATCCAATTAGCATCAACATATAAAAAAGACAGTTTGCTTCCCCTGTTTATTAATTCTGCAATTGTTTTAGTCTATAAGGAATACTTTTCCATATATCATTAAAAAACAAGGAGGGTTTCCTAAAGGAAAAAAAGTTAAGAACTATAGACTGTTAGGTTTCAAATTGTACCCTAAAGTAGCACAAGGACAACCTCATTGAAATAACCAGGGAGAGCACATGCTTTCATGCTTTACGGCATTTACACAAGTGCCTATTTGAGAATTTTACTGTTGAAGAATAATTCTGTTACTACCTTATTTTATGGTTATTCTGGGAGAAAATAATTCATAAATTAATATTATTTATTATTTATTGGTTTTTCTAAATGGAATTACAGTACAGGTTTCATAAGTATAACCCATTTAATATTCACAGAATCACTGGATAAGAGTTAAAAGACAAAATAATATTTATTTCATTCATTAGTTTACCCAGTAATTAGCACTGAGCTTGAATACAGTTGATAATCAATACATATTTATTAAACCATTGGATGGCCTTTCCTTTGAAGTAGATCCTTACTGGAAAAGTGTTGACTTAGTCTATTGCTAAAGTTTAAGTATTACTGAATGCACAACTTTGATCAAATCAACCTTCAGCACAATTACCTACATTTCTGCCTACTATAAGGTTTCAGTGAGAGAATGCCTGAGGGACACCTTCTCTTTATCATGTGTAAGAAACTGTAGAAGGAGGGAATTCAGGCCTAGCATGTTTATGAACGTTCCTGACAAAAAGTAGTGCAATTAAAAGAAGAGCCTGCAAAAATCCAATTCTGATCCACATAAATTGAAGGCTAGAAAACATAACCATTGAAATATTTTAGAAAGAGCAGAGCCAGTATTTGCTGCAGCTCTTTTAAGAGTCTGACATCAGTTAATAAATCACAAAGAAACGATGAATAAATTAACCTCTAGAAACCAAAACCACAAGGCGCAGGTCAGACTTACCAGCACGGTCACCACACGGAGGACCACTCCGCGCATGTTATTCTCCAGTTTCTTGTCAGTCAGTGACCCATTCAGCCCTGTGACAGGATTCCAGCACCCAAGCTGAAAGATCAAATAGCTTGGTCACTTTTCTGCCTGAAGTACAATCCCATCTCCTATGTATAGACTCTCCAGAGAACTTGGTAATAGATCTTAGAATAACGGATACAGGAAGGGTCCTTTGCAGGTTTTCTTTTTTACTAGCAAATGAGCAATCAAAAATTTCCTGTGTTTAAATATCATCACATGGCATATGACCAGACCAGATATGCTACAGGAGACTTGTTGAAGATATCTGGCTTCATGAGAAGTCATAAAAACACCAAGAACAATCTTAGCAATATACTAATTGGAAAAATAATAGTGCATACAATTCTAGCATGTCAGTTCTAATAAATCAATTATAGCACGTTAGATTTTTTAAAAATAATTTCAGTGGTTTTAATTACATCTTACACTGATTTTATTGGGAAAAAACAAGATTATTTAATGTGGCTAAAATTATTACTGCTTTTATTTTAGGAAAAGTCAAGTATATTGTTTTGTCGATTTCAAATACTCACAGTGCATAAAACAATATAATTTGCCTTTTTTGTCAGTGCTACCAATTTACTTGGGCAATTTTGGCAGCAGCCTTTCCCTTAGTCTTGTCATGATTCACTGCTCTTTACTCTTCAAAATACTAGTTTAATTTTACATCTTCATGTAGTTTTTATCTCTTGTAATATCAAAATCTGAGGACTACCAGCTTTAAAATTACTACCTATAAATCACAACAGGATAAAAATGGATGACTCTCAACTCAGAAATAAGAAGAAAAGAGAGATGTGGTGACATGAATGAGCAGATAACTGCTCAAGAAGCAAAGCTGCAAAGAGAACTTTGTAATGTATATCTTGGAAAGAAATGTCATGCCATTAATCCTGATGCCAGCTCCATGAGCTTTCACATTTGGATGCTTTAAAAATGTGACCAACCTTTAGTCATATGCAGAGACTGTTTGGATTAACTGAATGGTTTATAGGGGCATTTAGAGATTTGTGCTGCTTCCTTGTAAAGACTGTGATTTATTTCCTTGTATTGCATTTTGTTTGTGGTTTTCAAAGTCAGCAATACACTGGCAACTATTCCTCACAAATAAATGTGTTAGGTGCTTTCTATTAAAACTCTAGTTTCTCTTTGAGCTCCCCAAAAAGAGTTTAATTAAGAAAACTAAAGTGTATATATAATACAGGGTGGGGCAAAATTGGATTTACAGTTGTTTGTATGAGAAATAATACAATTATATATATATATATATATATATATATATATATATATATATATATATATATATATATATTTAAAAGCCTAAGCTGCCAAACAATGGGTTGGCAGGTTATGATGTGCACTGACCACCAGGGGACAGACATTCAACGCACAGGATTGGGCTCCCTCCTGTCTGAATCAGGCCTGCGGGGATTGGGCTTAAACCAGCTATCCAACATCCCCAAGGAGTTCCAGATTGCAAAACGGTGCAGGCCAGGCTGAGGGACCCCACTGGTTCATGAATCTGTGCACCAGACTTCTAGTTAATAAATAATAATGCAAGAATAAACTCTGTGTTTTACATATTCACAACTATAAACCTACTTTTACCCTACCTGTGTATCTTAAGAGAAGGGGAGCTCACAATATAAACAAAAGGTAAGCATTTTTCTTATTAAAATAATTTGGAAAATGCTGCTGATTTGTTGATTTCAACTGTAAAAGCACATTAAACTCATACAATGCTATATCATTCTTTGTTACACAAAATGTCTAATTATAACAGATCCAATTAGCAAATCCAAATGTGTTGAAAATCTAATTATCAGAGATATTGTAGTCATCTTGCAAATGTTAAAAACTTACAAAATTTCTTTTGAGCTTTTGTTCTTTTCTGAGGTCAACCAAATTCTATCCTCAATTATATTCCTTGTATGAACTTTTTCTAATTACGTTTTTAAGATTTTATTTTCCTAGACCAAATAGTATTCATAAAAAATGTCATCTACAATTTTGAGAGGAGCTAAATTTTTAATGTGCTATCCATTTGATCATTATAGTACTTATTTCTAAACTGAATGAATAGTTTTTACTACATCATCTTGTTCAGAGATAAATATGTCTACTAGTAAGTTGCCAAAGTAAACAGAGAAATCCATTTTTTTTATCCCTTTGAGTTTTATTTTTCTTTAAAGTTCTGTAAATTTATTGTCAGTTTGCCCAAATAGATGACATATATTAGAGCCAAACTTGACCACAGTATTCTGGCATACTGTCAGAATATTTACCACTGGAATAAATAAAACTAGCTGAGCAGTTTGTTTCAGCAATGCTCTGGACAAACATCTTAAAATGTATAATTTTAAGCTTATTAATTCTATCCTCCCTTCAACATAACTAAATATAGCCAATGGTTTAAAAATTCTAAAATACTCTAGAATTGGGTTGTTTGAACCAACAATAATAAAAACGTGATTGAAGTAGGTAAAGTAGGTGGATATATCTTGTCTTCAGGTCTAGGCAATGACTTTAAACATTACTTGTACCATAGATGATGTTTCTTCCCTCTCTTTTTATTTTATTCCCATTGATTCTTCCAGTGGTCATGTCTTGACCAACCACACCCATCTCTTTGGACCTTTGGAGAACTGTTTTCTCTGTTTAATCCCAGAAAAGTGTTCCAAATGATCCAACATTTTCATGACTCTTTCTGGTTGAGCAATTGCTAATGATAACTCTAATACTTAATGTTAGCAAAATGTTAGCTGTGGACAGCAAAAACTAGGATTTTCAGAAACTAAATTTTGAGGAATAGAAAGTTTAAGATACAAATTCTCTGGAAAACTAGAAATAAAATATATCTACTCATTGGATATCAACAATGGGTATAACAAAAATGTATAAAGGAAGTAAATACTTATTTTCTATATAGAATAGAACAATTATTTTTACAGTTTTTGTAATACTTTCTATATGCCAGCCATGGTGCTACACTCTTCATACAAGACTTAATTTAAGCCTCAAAAAAGTTTATGAGAAGGTACTGTTATCATTATCCTACCTAATAAGAAAAACATGTAAATTGACCTCACTTTGGCTGTGCCACAAGCTCCGCCCACCAGCCAATCAGGGCAAGTATGCAAATTAACCCAACCAAGATGGTGGTTGATTTGCATATCCAGGCCAGAGTGAAGACTGAAGAGGTGTAGAAAGAAGCCAAGTGCTGTGGAGAAGCAAGCAAACAGGTTGGGAGAGAAGGGAGGGAAGGAGGCAGGGCAGCGACCCAGCAGGAAGCCCTATTGCAGAAATCTTCCTGCAAGGGGCATCTAGTTATATTATAAGCATTGAAACTAAGTACTCAACTAAGGTCACATATCTGCTAAGAGAGAAAACTAGGATTTAAACTAGTGCTTCTTAAAGTTCAGACTCAGTGGTTTTAATTGTGGTGCTGTTGAATAGTTTAAAAATTATTTTTGTCAACATGATCTATTTAAGGTAGGCAAAGAAGGTATTATTCTTATTTTATTGTCAAAAAACAAACTCAGAACTGTTAAATGGCTGGCTCAATATAATAGCTAATGAATTCAAACTTTGGTAATACAATTTAAAAAGCAAAATCATTATCATCATTATTTTTATAACATTTATTGTGACATATACACAGTGCCTAGAGCTTTGTTGATACTAATTTACTTCTCAGAACCACCCTAGGAGAAAGGTATCATTACTATTTCACTGAAGGGGCAGCTAGGTATCAAGAGGTTCTGCCTGCTCTTTCTACTGGGATATATTTTATGAAGCGGCATTTAATAAAATAAGGAGAGTAGTAGAAAATGAAGTGGACAAGATATTCTGAAAAATATTTCTGGAAATCTCTACTTTGTGTGATCAAATTTGTAAATATAAATATGGCACATTCTTTATTTACTCGAAGGCCTGACAGTGTTTCTCAAAATGTATACCAAAGGCCAAAGATGAAGTAAACATCAGTAACAGATGAGGAAATGTTAATTACCCACACCTTTTTGAAAAATTTCTCAAGTTTTAAGATTCTTTAATTTCTGTTCATATCCATTCACCTCCCAGAGGTTCACTTCAAGCTGTTCTGTTTGATTGTAATAACTCTTCCTCTAAGGATAGGCAATAAAAATGAGTTCACATAGATCCAAATAGAGTTTGTATCTACCAGGGGTCGTATTCCTTGCAGCATAGCAAGATTGACAGGCATGGCGTTTGATAAAAACTAGAATTTCACTTAGGTTCAAGTGTGAGGCTTATCTAACAACTTTCCTGGTTCCACTGTTTGAAATTTCATTAACTTGGCTTCCCTGGCTATGTGAAGAAGGTTATTTTTGTCTGGTTGTGTGTTTGTTTTTCTTTCTGTCTTTTACTGTTTTAAACAAAGAAGCCAAAGACTAATAAAGAAAATGCACACAAACTCTCCCAATATTATTATTCAGTTGAGTTCTTTCTAAGGAAATAATAATAGAGTGGCTCCTGCAGTACAGGATATTTCCAGAAAGTCATACTGCTGATGGCAAAAGTAGATTCACTGTCTTCCAGGGTCTGACAATCCAGAGAAAATTTAGAAGGGATACAACGACTTAAAAAAATTAAATTTCCATTCAATTAAAGTATATTGATTTCCTATAGTATGTTCTGGTTATTGCTTAAAGTCATCTTCAGAGCTTAAAAATGCTTAATGCTTTAATTATCCCCTTCATTGGAGCTTGAGCAATAATAATCTTGTAGCTTTCTGTTAAAATCAATGTAATATCTTGTGTTCAACAAACTGGTTGATGTATTTGCAAGAGAATAGTAGTATGCTCTTAACATTACATGTTATGTGATTAGTAAATGCTCACGTTTTAGATGTTTACTCTTTTTTTTTCCCTCTAATGTTTTCACTTTCCATTTGTCCAGGGGCTTTAAAGGATGATGTTTGACTTACATCCCTATTTTTCAGCCAGTGTTTCAATGTCAAAAAAGAGCTGAACTGTTCCACTTTAATTTTACGCTCAATAGCCTGTTGGCTT